GGCATCGTTGGATAGAGAATTGAAAACGCGATTTAATCATCACCTCATGAGTGAGGAAATGCGAGTAGTTTTGACGCAGAAAGCGAAAATTGAATATCAGACACTTAGGTGCAAAGATTATGAAAAATTTTCAAAGTTTTCCGTCCTGTTTCTGCTCATTTCACATTTCTCTCACTCACATTTTATAAATTTTAAAAACATGGGCGGGGTTCATGCAGTTATGGACCTGGCAACGCCGGTCCCGCTGAAATCGCCCAGCCGCGAGCTGTCATTGGCATTACTCGGCAAAATGTCAGGCAAGGAGGAGCGAAATTCGCCCAAAAAGCCCCCAAAGGGGGACGCAGACCCCGCCCCAGAGCTCGAGAGCGAAAGGTAACCGGCCCTGCTACCCATTGGGGAGCGGCTGCGGCCCCCATTTTCGCCCGAGCGAAAAATCGATACAACGGGGCCCACCCCCTAACCTAACATCAGTGTTTGTTTGGCAGCGCCAATGGTACTGGCGAAGACCCGACGGGGCTGGCCAATCCGCTCAACACCATCACGATCAACGAACTGAAGGCGGCGATGGAACTGTACACACTGTCTCAGAAGCCGGCCAAGACGCCCGAGGAGGCCCTGAAGAAGTCCTACCAGTTCTGGAACACGCAGCCCGTTCCCAAGATGGGTGCGTAGCTCCCTCAGGTAAGTCCCGGGGGATTATCGGGCTGATCCCCGGTGTTTTTAGACGAGAAGGTGACGGTGAATGAGGCGATCGAGCCGGCATGTGACCCGAARGACATCAGGCAGGAGCCCTATTCGCTGCCGGGGGGCTTCAAGTGGGACACCCTGCACTTGGACGATCCGCTGATCCTAACCGAGCTCTACACGCTGCTGAATGAGAACTACGTGGAGGATGACGACGCGATGTTCCGCTTCGACTATCAGCCGGAGTTCCTCAAATGGTGAGTGACGGGTTTGAGGGGTTTTGGTGGTGAGCCCCATTCGCGATTGCAGGGCGTTGCAGCCCCCCGGCTGGAAGAGCGACTGGCACTGCGGGGTCCGTGTGGTCCACAGCGGCCGCCTAGTCGGCTTCATTTCGGCCATTCCAGCCACGCTGGACATTTACAAGAAGCGCCAGCGGATGGTCGAGATCAATTTCCTGTGCGTACACAAAAAGCTGCGAGCCAAGCGAATGGCCCCGGTGCTGATCCGGGAAATTACGCGGCGCGTCAACCTCACGGGGGTTTTCCAAGCGGTCTACACTGCGGGCATTGTGATCCCCAAGCCGGTGTCCACCTGCACCTACTGGCACCGATCGCTGAACCCCCGGAAGCTCATTGAGGTGAGCATTGGGGGGCCCAGCCCCGCTTCTTTAAACGTTGGCGGTTTTAGGTCAAGTTCTCCTACTTGTCGCGGAACATGACCATGCAGCGCACCTTGAAGCTGTACAAGCTGCCGGACGCGCCCGCCACCCCCGGGTTCCACAAGCTGCGCCCCCAGGACGTCGATGGGGCCCACCGGCTGCTCAACCAGGTCATTGCCCTCGATCACCCTCCAGTAAATCTAGCTTAACCGGTTAAATTGTAGTACTTGGGGCGCTTTGAGATGGCGCCCCACTTCAGCAAGGAGGACTTTGTGCATTGGTTCACGCCGCGCCCCAATATAATCGAGAGCTTCGTCGTGGAGACCGGCGGCCAGATCACTGACTTTGTCAGCTACTACACGCTGCCTAGCAGTGTCATGCACCATCCAGTGCACAAGAATCTCAAGGTAACCCTGCCTTCGGCCCCCTGTGCCCAGTTGAGTCACCTCTGAGGTCTTGCAGGCGGCCTACAGCTTCTACAACGTCAGCACCCGGACGCCCTGGGTGGCCCTGATGCAGGACGCGCTGATCAGCGCCAAGCAGCTGGGCTTCGACGTGTTCAACGCGCTGGATCTGATGGACAATGCGCAGTTCCTGGAGCCCCTGAAGTTCGGCATCGGCGACGGGAAGCTGCAATACTACCTCTACAACTGGAAGTGCCCGTCGATGGCGCCCAACAACGTCGGCCTGGTGCTCCAATAGGGCGCCCCGCGCCCATGGACTAGTTCTCACGACACATGGACGCCGCTGGGGGCCGGGCCCCCAGCTGCGCCCCACTCGCACCAAATGTTCGGTTTAGAGGTTAAGTTCAATGTACGGTGTGACAGCTCGGCGGAGTGCACAGGGGCTGGAATTTGCCGCTCGCCACTGATGCTTGTGATTGTGCGTGTTTTGACAGGCAGTTTTCCACAAATATACAGAAATTTTAAATTAATTTTCTCTCAGTGTTTATGTTTGATTTTTCCCTAGGAAAACCACGCCCTATCGACATCCGAAAATCCCTTTTACAAAGGGAGAAAAGGCTCGATTTTTGCTGACTATCAGTGTTAAGGGTGACCACGCCTTAATAGGAGCATTAATTAAAACAGAAGAAGAACCGACGTTGCGTCGTTTGTCTTTATCTGTGGCGGCCATTTTGTATTGAGCCGTCAACAAAGTGTGTTTGTTATATCGAGTTGAGCCCCAAAGCATGTTTTAGAGCCCGATACGAGCGCAAAGGACAGAATAGAGTGACCCCCACCATGGATATTCCACGCACCCATGAAGGTATGTAGGCCCCGAAAGCCCCAGCTAGTGTTGTCGTGTCCTAACCTCACTTTGCGCTGGCTAGATATCGAAGCCCAGATCAGGGACATTCAGAGCAAGAAGAAGGAGGCCCCACCGGAGGGCGGCGAGAAAGGCGTCAGCTTGGGCGAGAGCGGCTTTTTCGACAGCGAAATCTACGATGGCAAGGACAAAAAGTACGAGGGGTACGTCACCTCCATTGCGGCCAACGATGAGGTGGACGACGAGGAGGAGGAAGTGGGCTATTCGCAGAAGCGCACAGGCCTGGGGGCCCCCGTGGCCCTGCTGAACGACATTGCGCAGGTAGGGCTTGCGCCCCCTTTGTGACTGTTCGTTTTTTGATGGGTTTTCGGGGTTTTAGAGCGAAAAGGACTATGATCCGTTTGCGGATAGGCGCCGGCCCACGATCGCCGACCGCGAGGACGAGTACCGGCAGAAGCGACGTCGCATGATAATCAGTCCGGAGCGCGCCGACCCTTTCGCTGATGGTACGTGTGTCTAGCCCTTAAGTGAATCTGCCCCCATGCGGGGGGCCTTTTTTAACATGAAAATGGGGTTGTATGTGTGAATGGAAGCGCGCGAATCCACCAGACTCGAGACTAATTACTGATTTTGTTCTCAATTGAGGTCCAGATGTAGGTTGTGGCTACGCCAAACGGGGGATAAGTCGCCCATTATAAACTACCGAATGGTAACCGTATATGAGAAACAGGCGTGAAAGTGTGTGTGACATGATCAGAAATCTATTAATTTACCCCAGCCTATTTCTAGGTTCAATTTCACCAAACAGTTAGGAAGAAAGGTCCCACTGATGGCTGCGGCCGGCACGTACGTATCCTATCTGGTAGCCACATTATCCTGCGGCTAATCGATCGGCAGTGGACAATGTGGCTGCCAGTCGATCTCAGTCAAGCCAAAACGGTGCCGAATCCAACCGGCCGCATGGGCGGCTTGGTTCGGCCCGTGTTGGGGCCCTTTTCCGGGCCAACACTTTGCGACACCCAAGCGCTTCATGGCACTAAAGTACCCTTTTGGTTTCCGTTTTGGTTGCAGGCGGGAAAACGCCCGAAGTGAATGCGCGCGGATACACCCAGATCATGAAGGAGACGTTGCTCAAAGGCGAGGAAAACGAGGTAAGTTGCGCTGCGCCTCGACGCAAGGCGCCCTTCACTAGTCTCATTGCTGCGCTTGCAGGTGCGCCGAAAAATAATCGAGCGCGCCAAGGACGGGACGCTGAAGCCGCAGAACGGGGACGCAAAGCCGGCCCCTAAAAAGCGCGGCCGCTGGGACCAGACGGTCGAGGAAACCTTCATCCCTGCCAAGAAGAAGACGCTGTCCGTGTCCACCCCCAGCACTGCAGCCACCCCAGTTTGGGAAGGCGACGTAAGTGTATTAACTTGGGGAGTTTAAAGGGTTGGCAATTAAGGCGGGTTTAACGCAGAAAACCCCAGCGGACATCCGCTGGGATGAGACGCCCGGACATAAGGGCAGCGAGACGCCAGGGGCGACGCCGGGGCAGTCCACGCGCATGTGGGACGCCACACCAGGCGCCGCCACTCCGGGCCGAGAGACGCCCGGCCACGATAAAGCCTCCTCCAGGCGCAACCGATGGGACGAGACGCCCAAGACTGAGCGCGAGACCCCTGGGCATTCAAGCGGGTGGGCGGAGACGCCCAGAACCGACCGCACTGGGGCGGATCTCATCCAGGAAACCCCCACTCCAGGTGAGTAGCCCCTTTTCAGTTTGGTTGGCGTTTAACGGGGTTTGTTTAGGGGCCTCCAAGCGGCGCTCCAGATGGGACGAGACGCCATCGGCGGCCACGCCCAGCGTCAGTATGACGCCAGGCGCGATGACGCCGCAAACCCCCCACGGCACCCCAGGGCATGCCACGCCCATGCTGACGCCCGGCGGCTCCACCCCCGTTGGCACCAAGGCCATGGCCATGGCCACGCCCACTCCTGGTAGGTTTTCCAGCTGGGTTAAGACGACAGCAGTGGGGGGTTAACAGGCCTTTTGCCCACCCGCAGGTCATTTGGCGTCGATGACGCCCGAACAGCTGCAGGCGTTTAGGTGGGAGCGGGAGATCGACGAGCGCAACCGCCCCTATTCGGACGACGAACTGGACGCCATGTTCCCGCCCGGCTACAAAGTGTTGCCGCCCCCTGCCGGCTACATCCCGATCAGAACGCCGGCGCGCAAGCTCACAGCCACGCCCACGCCGCTAGTCGGCCAAACCCCCGTGGGCTTTTTCATGCAGAACGAGGACAAGTCGGCCAAGTACATGGACAATCAGCCCAAGGGCCAGAATCTGCCCTTCATGAAGCCGGAGGATGCGCAGTATTTCGACAAACTGCTGGTCGATGTGGACGAGGAGGCGCTCAGCCCCGAGGAGCAGAAGGAGCGCAAGATCATGAAGCTGCTGCTCAAGATCAAGAACGGCACGCCCCCGATGCGCAAGGCGGCCTTGCGCCAGATCACCGACAAGGCGCGCGAGTTCGGGGCGGGGCCACTGTTCAATCAGATCCTGCCGCTGCTGATGAGTCCCACGTTGGAGGACCAGGAGCGCCATCTGCTGGTCAAGGTGATCGACCGCATCCTGTACAAGCTGGACGATCTGGTGCGTCCCTACGTGCACAAGATCCTGGTGGTGATCGAGCCGCTGCTGATCGACGAAGACTACTACGCGCGCGTGGAGGGCCGGGAGATCATCTCCAACTTGGCGAAGGCCGCCGGCCTCGCCACCATGATCTCCACCATGCGGCCCGACATCGACAACATCGATGAGTACGTGCGCAACACGACGGCGCGAGCCTTTGCAGTGGTCGCGTCGGCCTTGGGCATCCCCTCCCTGCTGCCCTTCCTCAAGGCCGTCTGTCGCTCGAAGAAGTCGTGGCAGGCGCGCCACACCGGCATCAAGATCGTGCAGCAAATCGCCATCCTGATGGGCTGCGCCATCCTGCCCCATCTCAAGTCGTTGGTGGAGATCATCGAGCACGGGCTGGTCGACGAGCAGCAAAAGGTGCGCACCATCACCGCCCTCGGCATTGCGGCCTTGGCGGAGGCGGCCACGCCCTACGGCATTGAGAGCTTCGACTCGGTGCTGAAGCCTTTGTGGAAAGGTACGGGACGCTAGCGCCATCTGGCGCGCTGGACGGTAGTTGATGGGGTGGACTTTTGCAGGCATACGGACGCATCGCGGCAAAGGCCTGGCGGCCTTCCTGAAGGCCATCGGCTACCTGATTCCGCTGATGGACGCCGAGTACGCGAACTACTACACCAGGGAGGTGATGCTGATCCTCATCCGGGAGTTCCAGTCCCCGGACGAGGAGATGAAGAAGATCGTCCTCAAGGTGGTGAAACAGTGCTGTTCGACCGACGGCGTCGAGCCGCAGTACATCAAGGAGGAGATCCTGCCGCAGTTCTTCAAGCACTTCTGGAACCACCGCATGGCGCTGGACAGGCGCAATTACAGGTACTGCCACGTGGTGCCTGCTCAGCCTTCTTTTGGCGCCGCCCTGGTATTGTGGGCGCGGCCCCTTTCAAGGCCGTTTCCGCTGCGAAGCCCTCGCAGGCCATCCTTGTCAGGTGCGTGGGCTTGCGCCCGCGCGCTCCGTTCCCTCAAATACCGGGGCGGCTCAAAAAGTGATTTGTCTGCAATAAACGCCGCCTTTCCACAGGCAACTGGTGGACACGACAGTGGAGATTGCCAATAAAGTGGGCGCCTCCGAAATCATCAACCGCATAGTGGACGATCTGAAGGACGAGAACGAAGCCTACCGGAAAATGGTGATGGAGAGCATCGAGAAAATCATGGGCAACTTGGGGGCGGCCGACATCGACTCCCGCCTGGAGGAGCAACTGATCGACGGCATTCTCTACGCGTTCCAGGAGCAAACCACTGAGGATGTGGTGATGCTGAACGGATTCGGGACCATAGTGAACCAGCTGGGCAAGCGCGTCAAGCCGTATTTGCCGCAGATTTGCGGCACCATCCTGTGGCGACTCAACAACAAGTCGGCCAAGGTGCGCCAGCAGGCGGCCGACCTGATTTCGCGCATCGCCGTCGTGATGAAAACCTGCCAGGAGGAGAAACTGATGGGCCATTTGGGCGTGGTCCTGTACGAGTACCTCGGCGAGGAGTACCCGGAGGTGCTCGGCTCCATTCTAGGCGCCCTCAAGGCCATCGTGAACGTGATTGGTGCGTAACTGTCAGTGGGCACAGTTGCCAGATTGGGCTAAGTTTACTGGTTGTTACAGGCATGACGAAGATGACGCCGCCGATTAAGGACCTGCTGCCGCGGCTGACACCCATTCTGAAGAACCGGCACGAAAAGGTGCAGGAGAACTGCATCGATTTGGTGGGGCGCATTGCGGACCGCGGCCCCGAGTATGTGTCAGCGCGCGAATGGATGCGCATCTGCTTCGAGCTGCTCGAGCTGCTGAAGGCCCACAAGAAGGCCATCCGGAGAGCGACGGTGAACACGTTCGGCTACATAGCCAAGGCCATCGGGCCCCACGACGTGCTGGCAACGCTGCTCAACAACCTCAAAGTGCAGGAGCGCCAGAACCGCGTCTGCACCACGGTGGCGATCGCCATCGTGGCCGAAACCTGCTCCCCGTTCACGGTGTTGCCGGCGCTGATGAACGAGTACCGGGTGCCCGAGCTCAACGTCCAAAACGGCGTGCTCAAGTCGCTCAGCTTCCTCTTCGAGTACATCGGAGAAATGGGTGAGTACATCAAGTAATCAAAGCGCCCCGGTATTGAAGCGCGAGCCTCAACTGGCCGCTTGCCCGTGCAACTGACAAAGAGGGCCAGTGGGTTGTTGATGTCGGTTGCCTGCGCAGCGCCGGGCAGTTGTCGCACCGCCAGCTGATACCGGGGCGGGCCAAAAAGTAACACGGTTTTTCCGGGGTGTCGCAGGCAAGGACTACATCTACGCAGTGGCGCCGCTGTTGGAGGACGCGCTGATGGACCGCGACTTGGTGCACAGGCAAACGGCCTGCGCAGCCATCAAGCACATGGCGCTGGGCGTGTACGGGTTCGGGTGCGAGGACGCGCTGGTCCATCTGCTCAACTACGTCTGGCCCAACATCTTCGAAACGTCGCCCCATCTGGTGCAGGCCTTCATGGACGCCATCGAGGGCATGCGGGTCGCCTTGGGCCCCATCAAGGTGCTCCAGTACTCGCTGCAGGTGAGCATCCGGAAGGGTTTTGATCGGGTGGAAATCACCGGGCTTTGCGCGTTTCAGGGGCTGTTCCATCCGGCGCGCAAAGTGCGCGACGTCTACTGGAAGATCTACAACTCGCTCTACATTGGGGGACAGGACGCGTTGGTGGCCGGATATCCGCGCATCGCCAACGACCCCAAGAACCAGTACATCAGGTACGAGCTCGACTACATTCTGTAAACTTCGGACGCCGTTTGCTTTTACTATTATTATCCACTCTGTTCACTGTCTATAGTTCTAAATAATAGCCTTTATGTGTGTGTTGGCTTGTTACGGTCCTTGCTTCCTCCTCGATCCTGGTTTTGAGCAATTTCCTAGCGGAATGGCGAATGCGCCTCGAAAAGGTCCATACCGGTGTTAGTTGGAAAGTGGCCCGATCTGGTCTGGTAAGTGTGCCAGATTCATTTTTAATTAAAAACCGGTTTGGTTGTGGCGGATGAGTCCAATGGGAGCGAGTGAGGCAGAAATGGGGGGGCCTTCGGCCTTGGCCGGCTCCCTTGCTGGCGGCGCATTGATCCTAGTGGCCTCTCGCTCGCGCTCATGGCCGTTCCCTAGTGCCGTCCTTGTCGGCTGTTTATTTGCGTGTAGGTCTTCCAGCCAGTCGGTCGCCCAACAGGCTGCCATTTGTTTATCCCGTTTGGAGCGGTTTTTCTGGAGTGGTTCTGGACAGTCCCGGCGTGCACCCCAATGGGCGCTCCCATCGCGACCAGCAAAGGTAACCGGCGAATGCTGGAACAGTGCGGTTTTTGAGGTGGGCATATGTTGCCGGCAGGCGCCCACTATGACCGATCGGGAGGACTCCATGGACGATGACGTTTTTGAGGCTGTGGAGGCGCGTCTAGAGGTGCCGGAGGACGGGCAGCGGGGCACCCACTCCCCCACCGGCTACCGCGGGTACCAGCCCTCTATCGACGTCATCAACCTGTGCAACCAATTAGAGGACGCCGAGGTGCCAGTGCACAAGGTGAGTCCGAAAACTAGTGGCCAACTCCAATGCTGTCCAGACTATTTTGCTAGGGGACAGTGGCGTCGGGAAAACCTCCCTGCTGGTGAAGTTCGACACCGGCAAGTTCGAGTCCAGCAAGTTCTCCGCCACTGTGGGCATCGGATTCACGGTGAGTCCGTCCAGAGGTGTGGGTTGCGGGAGTTTCACGCCCAAAATTTCCAGACCAAAGTGGTGCAGGTCGATGACAGCAAGGTGAAACTGCAAATTTGGGACACCGCAGGTCAGGAGCGGTTCCGGTGCGTCACCCATGCCTACTACCGGGACGCCCATGGTAAGCACTTGGCGAATCGCCCCGGTATTGAAGCGAGACCGTCCAGGGGCCGCTTGCCAATGCGCCAGACAAGGACAGCCTGGCAGCTGTTGACTGGAGTTTTTGCACAACTCGCCAATACCGGGGCAGGTCGGAAAGAACCGGCGTTTCACTGGCATTGTTTGCAGCCCTTTTGCTCCTCTACGACGTAACGAACAAGAAGAGCTTCGACAACATTAGGGCGTGGCTGGGCGAGATCAAGGATTACGCGCATGATGACGTCGTCATCATGCTTCTAGGTGAGTGAACGCTTACGCCTGCACTCCAACGGTCCTCCTCACTGTTTTCCAGGCAACAAGGCCGACTGCGGGAGTGACAGGGCAATAAAACGTGAGGAAGGCGAGCGCCTGGCTCGAGAGTACCGGGTGACGTTCATGGAAACTTCTGCCAAGAGTGGACAGAACGTGGAGCTGGCTTTCCACGCCATTGCCAGGCAGGTCCCCCACCAGGCGCTTTAATGGATGGTTTACAGTGCATTTTTAGGGACCTGACGAGTCGCAGCGCAGCCAACGCTGATCCGCAGCGCTTCAACGTGCAAGACTACGTGAGGGCGCAGGCGCAGCACGGTCCCGAGTCGCCGCAGTGCGCCGCTTGCGCGTTCTAGCCGGGAGATGGCGCAGCTGGTGGAGCGGCGCATTCGCCTCCGGTCCATCAACAATCACATCGCGTGCAAGATCTGCAAGGGGTACTTGATCGACGCCACCACCGTCACCGAGTGTCTGCACACATTTTGCAAAAGCTGCCTGGTGAAGCACCTGGAGGAGAACAACACGTGCCCCATCTGCAGCATCGTCATCCACCAGTCGCATCCCCTACAGTACATCAGCTTCGATCGCACCATGCAGGACATCGTCTACAAGCTGGTGCCCAACCTCATGGAGGTGGAGCTGAGCAGGGAGCGCGAGTTCTACAGAGTGCGCGGCCTGCCCAACCCCAAGGACATTCCGCTGCAGAACCTGGACCTGAACAGTGAGGATCTGCAGCACGATCCGCACGCCGCCTCCGATTACCATCGGCAGGACGAGCAGGTGAACGTGTGTCTGGAGTGTATCAGTGCGAACTTGCGGGCGCTCAAGCGCCGCTACATCCGCTGCTCGGCGCAGGCCACCATTCTTCACCTGAAGAAGTTCATCGCCATGAAGATCCTGAACGGGATGGATCAGTATCGGGAAATCGACATTCTGTGCAATGAGGAGCTGCTGGGCAAGGACCACACGCTCAAGTTCGTGGTGGTGACGCGCTGGCGCTTCCAGAACGCGCCGCTCACGCTTCAGTATCGACCAAAAATCGACATTTAAGCGAGTGTTGACTAGGTTTATTGTGGTTAATAGAGGCGGGTTTTAGATTTTTCGAAAGTCTTGCAGAATTGGGACGCTTTGCGGCTGGCGGCAACAGTGTAGTGGCAACGCCGCCCACTACGCCCCTCTGTGGTGCCGTCGGCGTTCAAGAGGGCGCCGTGGGCGAAACGCAAAATTCCCTCGATTCGCCCAAAGTCGGGTAGTCTTCAGCAGTTTTGGGCCCTAGGGGGGCGCAAACCACACCACTTTTACCCCAAAGTGGGTTTTGGAGGGGCGGAGCCCTCTTACGGGCCGCAATTGCCAAAGCAGCCCGGCTTTACTCTCACGCTCCGCTCCCGAGCTTCCGCCACTGCGCCCAGATGGCGCTGCCAAGTGCTTTTTGCCTAATTGCTCTTTAATTGAAGTCCTCGCAGGGGCTGGGGCCGTTTCAGGAGCACCATGGGGCCCTGACCTTTGCCCCGCAACAATTCTCCCCAGGGCAAAGCCCTGGGGGGCGCGCTTTGCCCGAAATAGCCGGGCGGAGCAGCTGGATTCACTGCACGATCCGCTCCCCACCCCCATTCGTTCGTCTGCTGTTTCCGGTCAAAGCGTCATTTGCTTGTAAAGTGCTGTGTTTTCGGGGCGTTTTTTCCAGGTTTTCCTGCAAAAAACTGTGTTTTGCGTATAAGAGTGTTGTGCGGGGGTGCATGGACGGATTGGCGAATGTTCGGGGTTCAGGTGCAGTAGGACTGAAGCTACCGGCTACCAGGATGGAATGGTGGAGGCGTTTTGGGGCCCAGGCCTGACGCTGCGCCATTTTGCGCTTCGCCAGTTAAGCAAGGAGAATATGCGGCCAGTTCAGTAGATTTTTCCGATGGTTCAAGGTAGGACACACCGACCTTTTCTTTGTATTGTGGTTCACGTGGGCTGTATAGGTTAGAGCGTTTGCTTAAAATCGTTTAGCGGTCCGCCTATTCAGTTTTTGCCTTGCAAACCCCTGCAGGGCGCATTAAAGCCGTTAAAAGTCGCGATCGCAAGCTAAATTCTAGTGCGGCCAGCACCATTTTGCGTCTTGAAAACTAGCACGGCAACACTGTAGATATCTATTCCGGAGGAAATGGCGACTGCAGTCAGTCAAAACCTGTGCAGTCCGGCAACGGCGCGCTTGATACGCAACCATCTGATAGTGACAGTGCGCCAACCAATCAATCCCCGGAAGTCAGCCATAAATAATCTTTTGTTTATTAATTCGCTGCGTCTTTGTGGTATTTGAAACGATAACCGTTACCGCCGATGCGCCATTAAGCCACGTTGCAGAATGTCCGCCAGTTGGGCCCTGCTGCTGGCCTGCCTGCTCTTCGAAGGGTAAGTGGAGCGCAGCCCCCGTTCCGACTGATAGCGTGGCCCCCACTTGACAGGCGGGCGCACACGTCGCCCCAAAGGTTCCCGTCCAGCCCCTACAGCGACTGGGACTATCTGATGTTCTCGCAGAGGTGGCCGCAGACCACGTGCAGCGAGTGGGAGGAGGCGAACAGTGCCAACTCCTGCAACCTGCCCAAGGACAGGAACCTGTGGACCATCCACGGCGTGTGGCCCACGAAGACTGGCAAGTAGCCGGAGCGGTTCGGCAGCGCCTGATGTAACGCGAGAGTGGTTTAGGGCACGAGGGGCCGGTCTTCTGCCCGTCGGCGATTCACTTCAACCCCGAGGAGCTCACGCCGATGCTCGCGGATCTGAGCACCTACTGGATCAACGTGGAGGCGAACACCAAGCCGAACTCCTTCTGGGCGCACGAGTGGAAGAAGCACGGCACTTGCGCCTCCTCGCTGCCGCTGCTGGACAGCGTGACCAACTACTTCCAGACGGGGCTGAAGCTGAACCGCCAGTACGAGCTGGCGGACATTCTGGCAAAGGGCGGCGTGTCGCCCAGCAGCACGGGCTACGACGTCGCCCAGTTCTACAACGCCCTGAAGAGCGGCCTGGGCAAGGAGCCCATCATCCACTGCGTGCAGGACAAGAAGACCAACAGCAGCTACATCAGCGAGATCCGCATCTGCTTCAACAAGACCTTAGAGATGATCGGTGAGTGGTCTGCATGAGATGGCGGATGCGCCCTCATCGGGAATGTCTTTGGCAGACTGCAACCCCACGAATCCGGTGCACCGCGCGCGCTTCGGCCTGGATACCAACTGCAACCAGAAGAAGCTGGTCTGGTACATCCCGCAGGTGCCGCCCAGCTCGGGGCCCCCCAAATTTTCCCTGCCGGGGTGGCGGCAAAACAGCGCCGACGAGCGCAGCCGCCTGCTCGGGGTCTACCGGCTGCTGAARCTGATCCAGTGGATCACCGTGTAGGCGCGTCCAGCCCCCATTCAGGAACTTTACAGGGTTTCCCACCAGTCAACTGCCCAATCAGGAATAGTCGAAAAACTAGTCGGAGATAGAGCAAGCAGCGCCCCCCCTAGTCAACTCCCGAGCGACTGTTCATTGTCCCTACTGTAAATAAACTGGATGAAACTTTCCAATTAGAGATAAGTATATTGAGTAAATAACCACCAGACGCTCTGCACAGACTTATGACTTTGACACGATGAGGGTGGCCGTCGGGGCCAAACCTGCAACAACGGGAACGTTTAGCGGAAGCCCGGGGGCTCGATTTTACGGGGGCCTTACCGAGAGTGTCCAGGGGCTTGTCGTAGTCGTCGGTGCTGAAAACCTTGCGCGGAAAACTGGTCATCAGCTTGAAGGGGCCGTCGCCGTCCGTGCGGTTCATTTCGATGTACAGGCGCACCGCGGAAAGGGGCTCCTTGGCCCCGAAGCTCTGGCTCAGCGTTTTGCCTGTGGGTGGAGCGGCGTTAGGGCAAGTCGAGTCGAGTGCGCGGTTCAGGGCAAGCGACTTACCGTCGATCAGTCTTATCTGCAGCTTCACCTCGCTGTAGTCCTGCGGCGGGCGTTTGTCCGCTAGCACTGGGGGCGTGGGCGCCGCCTCCTGCGGCTGGCCGGCCTGTTTGGCCTTGCGCGCCAGTTTATCGGCCTGGATCTGTTCGCGCACCCGCTGCTTGGCTTTCAGCTCGTCCTCCTTTTCGCGCCGTCGCTGCTCGATGATTTTCTTCATCTCCAGCTCATCGTGCCGCTAAACCCTTTGCTGTTGAGTACTGGGACTTTGAGGACCTTCCCCCAGTTACCTTTTTGGCTTCCAGCATGTCCTTGCCGGACTTGATGCGCGCCCGCTCGCGCTCCAGCGCCTCCTCCTTTTCGCGGGCCTCGCGCTCCAGGCGCCGCTGGCGCAGCTTCGCCTCGATCTTGGCCAGTTGCTCCTTCTTCTCCTCCTCGCTCAGCGGCTTCTTCTCCTCGGTGGACTCCGAGAAGTTGCCATGCCCGGACTTGGAGGCGTGGAACTCCACCTCCTCACTGCTGTTGAACAGTTTGCCGCARTCGTCGCACTTGATGGACTTGGCGAGGGCGGCGGGCGCCGCCTCCGGTTCGGGCTGCGCCATCGGGTTCGGCTCGACCGCCGCCGGCTCCTCCTCGTTGGCCAGCATCCAGTCCATCACCACCTGCACGTCCGCGCTGCCGGTCTTTGCCACCGCCGTCTCCCTAAAAGCCCCGCAAACATCGACCCTCACCTCAGTCTCTAGCGCCCTGCCGGTACTTACACGCGTTCCTTCTCAAAGCCCATGTCCACCAGCATGTTAACGAGGCTCGACATGTTTTCCACTGAAAAAGGGCCCTTTGGAGCCCTAAACGGTTGGGATTTTAACTAGTTGAGCCGGTTGACAGCGAATGTCACTGCCATTGATAAAGACGAGTAGGTCACTACAGCGCGGAACACAGATCATAGAAGAAGGATTATCCCACAGATCACAAAGGTTAGAGACTCTGTAATCTGTGGCACAGAACACTTCCTGAACGTATACGTAGACGCTTGTGGCTAGCCATTGTCGTCCAAAACGGGTGGGAAAAGGACGGCGCGAGTTCACCGAGAGATGAACATCGGGGGCGACGAATTATTATTGCGCGAAAAATGCCTGAGGATGGCGGGCTTTGCCAAAATTCGCCAGATTCTGGTTGTTTCAGCGTATTATTTACGACTGTCCCTGGACGACATAAGCCGTGCGTGAACGCTGATATTCGGATTCAGGAAAATCAGGCAGCGGTGAGTAGGGGACGATGGATCTTTGGACAGGGGCAGGACTGGCAGGTTCTGGAACGCAAAGAAGCCCCCGATGAACAAAAAATATCGATCTAATCAGCGTCTCACTAACACCCGCAACTTGGGGCGGAGCCCCAGCTGAGACACTTTTTAGTAGGTAAATAATGCTTAGCACCTACTGTGGTCAGTCACCCAAGACCCGTTCCGGGTCACGCGCGGGTCTTCGGTTTCGCTTACGAGGCGCGCCCCATTCAGGCCGACTTGGGGCTCCGCAGGGCTGCGCCGTGCCAGGAACTGGCGCAGCTGCGGCGCCAGCCCCTCGGGCTGGTTGAGGTGCGCGTGGTGCGTGCCCTCCACATATTGAAAGTCGCAGTGGGCGCTGCTGCGCCTCAGCACGTCCAGCACCTGGTAGAAGTTCTCCTTCTCCTCAAAGTAGGAGCCCTCCGTGGACTTGCACAGGAAAATGGGGCAGGTGATGTGGTGCGCCTCAGTGACGATCTCCTCCTGCGGGAACCCCATCAGCGCCCCCGTCCGCAGCCGCGGGTCCCTTGTGAAGTAGAACTGGCCGGGGCTGCGCCGCGACGGCTCAATGTTGCGGTAGAGCAAATAGGGGGCGAACTCCACGGCCACCGAGCGCCGATTGGGCAGGTGCACGCGCTGCTTCATCTCCTCCAGACTGTAGCTGGGCGGCTCCTCCGCGCTCATCGCATACGCGTTGTTGCGTAGGAACGCCTGCAGGTTCTTGGCCATTAGCGAGCTGCGGTTCTTCTGGACCAGGGGCTTGGCGCCGTCCAGGCACAGGACAAAGTCCACCTGCTGCGGGTAGAGCATGGTGTAGGAGTAGGCGGTGATGCCCCCTAGGGAGTGCCCCATCAGCGACAACTTCGGCCACTGGAAGTGCTGCGCGATGTACTGCAGCGTGAGAATGTAGGCCGTGAAGTCGTAGTAGACCCCCGGGGGCAAACGGGAGGAGAACCCGTGCCCCGGCAGGTCAATGGTGAGGAAGCTGCGCTGCTCCTCCTGCAGCAGCGGCAGCAGCCGGTCGAAGCTTCCGCTGTTGTCCTGCAAACCAGCCCCTTGAGTCCACAGCACACAGCAACCCCACAAACACTCACCTGCCAGCCGTGCAGCGTCAGGATGGGCCTCCGGTCCAGGGGGCCCCACCATTTGCCCCTGATCTCGCCCCAGGGGATCGGGATGGCCACCTCCTGCCAAGGGGCTTTGCTGGCAAAGCCTCTCACAGCCACTTTGCCCACAGACAGCATGCTACCACTTAACCTAAATTCCTACGCGGTTCCGCAAACACAGTCACATTTTGGGTGGACCTTGACCCCCTCACCGGGATGAATTTGCGAGTTTGGAACATACATAAAGGACAAGGACAGGTTTGGAAATAGTCCTCCAGCAGAGACAAGTTGTCAGACTAGTCAGACTTGTCTCTGCCCCCAAAGCTCTAACTCTTCTCTTATCTGTGTTTATGGTTTATGTTGTGCCCAGCACAGAACATCCCCCACAGAAGGGGATATTTTGTGGTGCCCAGTGCACTACAGTCTATGTCGCAACGCCTACGGCGCTGCCAAGTTTGCACCACGCTAGTCAACAATCTTAGGACGCGCACGAATTCCTATGACGGTTGAGAACATTTCACGAGATAACCTCAGTTTTTTGCATCGTTTGACAAACGCTGTTTGGAAGTTTTCCCGTCTGAAAGGGGCCCCAAGACCAGATGGCAGGGCGCACCTTGGTGACAAAGCTGGGGCAAAGGGCCAGAGGCCCTTTGCTGATAGCGTGCAAACGGAGCGAGTTGAACCATTATCAAGGCACCGAGCACGGCAAATTGGAGGAAGTCCCGCTGGCCTCCAAAGGGTGGAACCACGGCAAAGCGCGCAACGACCACTTCACCGTGCTGCCGCTGCCGCCAGAGGCAGCGGCGCCGGGACGCCCCTTCGGGGAGCTGGGCATTGACGGGCGCATGGTCGAAGCCCTGCAGAGCTACAACATCCACAACGCCACGGAGTTTCAAGAGGAGGCCGTGGCCACTTTGCTGGGAGGTACGTTGCTGAGGCAGTCGCCTCCTCCAAGGGCGGAGAGGTTGGTTTAATGGCCCCCCTCTAACAGGAAAGCACGCCCTTCTGGCGGCAGAGACCGGCTGCGGGAAGACAGCCGCCTATCTGGTGCCGCTCATCCAGAGGCTGAGGCCTAGCGGCCTCCCAAACGCGCCCCGACTAGTGGTTCTGGTGCCCAATCGCGAGCTGGCCCATCAAGTGGGGGAAATGGCCGCCAGTCTGTGCGGCGCCCTGGGGCTGAGCGCCCACACTTTAGTCGGAGGTAGGGCACATTTCCCTGTGGCGTAGCCTGGGAGGCTTAATTGGGGCCTTGCAGGCAAGACGAAGCAGGCGATGCTCAACCCGCAGTTCGCAGAAGTGGACGTGCTGGTGGCCACGCCAGGGGTGCTGGGCAAACTGTCCAGTGTGGGCATCTACAAGCTGGCGGACACGCAGGCGCTGGTGCTGGACGAGGCCGACTCGCTCACCGACGATTCCTTCGCCGAGCGCGTCGAAAGCCTGGTGCGGCGCATGCCGCAAGCGCAGCTGGCGCTTGTGAGCGCCACCCTGCCGCGCCGCCTGCCCGACGTGCTGCAGCCCTACAGCGAGACGATGGAGCGCGTGGTTTCGCCGCTGCTGCACCGCCCGCTGCTCCACATCCGGCAGCACTTCATGCGGCTCACGCGCTCCCTCAAGCCGGCCAGCCTGCTGCAGCTGGTCAAGGGCGGCAGGAAGGAGCCGCTGCTGGTGTTCAGCAACCGCAACCCCACCTGCAAATGGCTGGCGATGTTCCTGCGCGAGAACGGCATCGCCTGCTCCAACATCAGCGGCGACATGAACCACGCGCTGCGCATCGAGCAGTGGGGCCAGTTCGTGAGGTGGGCGTGGCTCCGGTCTGGGTCGGCGTGTTTCACGATTGGCTGGCGTGTTTCAGGGGCGAATCGCGCGTGCTCTCCGCCACTGATGTGGGCTCGCGCGGCCTGAACACCATCCAGGTGGGACACGTGGTCAACTACGATTTCCCCCTGTATCCGGCGGATTACATCCATCGAGTGGGGCGGGTGGGGCGCCTCGGCAGCCCCGCCTCCTGCCAGGTGACCAACTTCGTGGCCAGCCCCAGGGAGATCGAGCTGGTGCAGCAGATCGAGGTTAGTGAACGCCCACCCCCTGCTAGCGTCCCCCACTTGAAATGGCCTGCGGGTGTGGTTTCAGTTGAGCGTGAGGCGCGACCAGCCGCTGGAGCATGTGGACGGCAACATCACCCACCTGCTGCACCAGAAAATACTGCGCCAGATCCGCCAGTCTAGGGAGGATTAGCAATAGATTGATTAGCGATAGATAGTTGAGTGGGCGGCGTGATTCTAAGGCCTGTAGGTGTGTGTTGTAGGTGGGCGCAGCGGGGAGTCGGCGCCAGCTGCACATGCAGCGCCTGGTGGACCGGGAGCGGCGCTACCGGGCGCGCCAGCTGCTCGGGTAAGTCGCCCCCCACGCCCCAGCAGCGCCAGCGCATTAATCGCCCCCGCTTGAAGGTACTCGGACGAGCAGATGTACGCAGTGGTGGCCGACGTGGCCCACTACCAGGACTTCCTGCCGTTCTGCACCCGCTCGGTGGTGCTGGGGGCCGACGGCCCCGTGATGCGCGCCAATCTGGAGATCGGCTTCGCCCCCGTGCTGGAGAACTACAC